CTGACGCATGAAATGTTTGCGACGTTGTATCCAAAACTAAGACAAAATAAATTCAAGTTTTTTAATTCTTTTAAAATATCTATAAAATCCTTTGACGATGGTTGGTCTCTTTTAGATTTCATCAATAAATAGATCAGTATCGAAATGATCGTTCTCCATTTCAGCACATATATCTCAAAGCGCTCGGCTGACGCCCGCAAAACGCGCGATCGCATGTACGGTAACATGGCAGCACATATATCTCAAAGCGCCCGTAAAGCGCTCGCAAAACGCGCGTTTTAACAAAAATCTATAAGCGCTCGCAAAACGCGCGTTTAACGCGCGCTTGGCTTTTGAGTGTGTACGGCTACATAGAACTCTTGGTTCTTTTAAACGCGCGTTAAACGCGCGCTTTTAATCGCGCGTTTAACGCGCGTTGAAAAACGCCTAGTGTGTACAGGGTCTAAAGGTAAATTAAAATCGTGATAAAATTTTTTCGCGCGGGTAGAAATTTTTGAAAAAATTTGGAGACCTAAAGAACATCCATAAATTGAAAAAAATTTTCGGGGGCCGAAAGGACCGAGTTTTTTGTAACGCTATGTAATCTTCCCGGGTTAACTCGGGACATGGACGTGACGTTTTCCAAGTGCACGTCCGTTATACGAAACGCATTTTCCTATACAAATACGTGTTAAAACATATAGTTCGCTCCGCACCATAAAATAACCGTACTGTACCATAAAAAAATGAAAATAGAGCAGTCTCCAATTATGCCAGGTAGTCAGATGTTGTGAGGAGAAGATGGAGGAACACTTTCTTCACGCATTCATACAGATACACACTTTTTACACATTGCAGCAGGTCTTTTTTTATTGTTTTTTAATTGGAGTCTGATTCAGGAGAGGCTACCAGAGCTTTCAGGGTCAACTCCTCTTGTTCCATTCTTTGTTTTTTGGCAGCTGACTTCTTGAAAAACATGTCCAAGATGGTCTGTTTCTCTCTCTTCTTCAACACCAGTCGGAAATGACAGGCAAGGGTGTCATTGTAGAGATCATTGATCCTGTTGGCCTTAGCTCTGTTTGGATAATGAGTGTTGGTAAACTCCTGAACCTCTCCCCATTCGACAAGAAAGTTTTTGTCAACTTTTACTCCTTCTGATGATTTCTTGCTTTGTTTCAATTGAAATTACCTCTCTGGTTTTAGAAGCCATGATTTGCACAACCCTTGAATAAATGTAAATACCCTGCACTGAGGTGATGTACGTAATAAACAAGGGAGCAAACCGAATCCCAACGAGAGCTCTGTACTTCAGATATACTAATAATATATTCTAATAATACTAATATATTATATAAATAGCAGATTGCCATTGGCAACGGCAAAAGAGTGAAAACATCATTCTCACTTGTTCACAGAAAGTCCGTTGTTCGCAGCGTCCTTTATTCGAGGCATACGTTATACGAGGCATCACTGTATATTGAAGCGTTTTTCTGGACTATTGCTATCTTCTGCGTTTTCGCAATCCCTTTTTTCAGTAGCATTTTAAAGACTGTGGGAGCCCCTTCGGGGCCCTACGTGCCCGCATAGTTCGCTTACCGCTTAATCTGCTGTTCAGGTATACACCACATAGGCGTACCACTATAAAGCAAAAAATTATGTCAGAATTTCTGCACGCCTTTTACTACCTCGAGACTAAGATTTTATTCGGGAGTTACTGTTTTCAATTTAGTAATTTTAAAAAAATCCTCAGGCAGATTTATTTTTGTTACAAAATGTTACGTTTACATATTTCTAACTCTGCACACTGTAGAAAATCTCGAAACACAGTTTTGTATATCATAATATTAATAGTTGCCAAAGAGCTGTATAAAGCAGAAAAAAATCTGTAAATTTGAAAACTATAAACGTAAATTTAAATTGATCAAAAAATAAATTAAAAAAATCTCAAAAATCGCTTTTTTTGGCTGATTTGTCTGAGGTCTCTGTCTACCTCACTTCGTCACTCTAAAAGTCTCCACAGTTGAGAACTTTGGTGAGCAGACATCTAGGGTCTAAGGTTACGGTTACCGTGGATGCAAATTCTGACGAAATCTTGTTCTGACGAGTATGTCCGAAATCCTCGTCAGAACAAGGTGGTTACACTGTGCGCGTTTTCTGATAGTCAATACGCTTCTGCCTCCCAGCAAAATGGACAAACTTGATGAGTTTTATTTTCTTGAAAGTCCGTTGATTAAGTTATTGTTGATAGGTGGTGGGAAAACAGAGCATGTTAACCACTTATTTTCCAGAAGAGACGATAAGGGAGAGTTCCAAATGTTATAACAAGATTTGTTGGACAACCCGCGAAAGCTTTTCGAGTATTTCAGAATGAGAGCTATCTCTTCCGAAAAATATCTCTGTTGTGATAGTTTGTGTCTTTCATGTCCCACGAACACCTATTATGGAACACAACACTAATACAATTTATCAATATCCATGTCAAAAAACCAAAACACTCGAAATTCAACGTCAGAACGCAAGAAAAAATCAAACTCGTTTGAACGCTCGAATAGTTCTGACTACATCGTGCGTGTTCTGACATGCCCTTCGCTGCTAAACTAACCACTCTCATTGGAAAACAGGTATTTGTTCCCGGCGAACTCGCCAGAACTCGTCAGAACAAGATTTCGTCAGAATTTGCATCCACAGTAATCGTAGCCTAAGTAACGCAAAATGTAATCGCCAAACCGCGCTGTAAAAGGCGGAAAATTTTAAAATTTAAAAAATATAATTTCATGTAAACAGCAGTTTAGGCCCCCCTTCCAAGTGGCCATGTCTGGGTGCACCTGTTGCACCTACCTAGTTACGGCTCTGCCTGTGGGCATCAACAGAGTCTTTTTTCAACATTACTCATTATTGGTACTATTTTAAAAAAAGGTCCTCTTAAGTGGATCGTTTCCACGGAAAATTTTCTTGGTGGCCATGACCGACTTAAGAAAAGAAATAGTTAGTGACTTAAGGGAAAGTAACTTATATAAAAAAGGTCAACTTTTTAGAAAATTTTCATCATTATTATTTCTTTAATTAATGTAATATAGAAAATGTATCTGTTAGGCTAAAAGACCAAAATCGCTCACTGAGCAAAAAACAACGACCACAAGGCGTTGTGGCTAATTCAAAACGGCCACGAAGCGAAATTCGTGTCGAGGCTTTCATGATATTTGACAACGACGCGTTTTGGTTAAAAATATGTACTATATTGCTGTCAATGGAAGAAATTCTACATTCATTATTCATTATCTCTTCTCCGTTTAATGAACATAAGAAATTAACTCTGTTGATTTTTTAATGTTTATCGCTTTATCAAACAGAATACAGAAGATGTCAGCAGAACCCGAGAAAGAGATTGGTACCAGTTGTTTTCTTAATCCCTATTGGAAAACGGCACTTATCTTCGGTTTAGAACCATTACAAACTTGCAGCTGCGATAAGGCAATCGCAGTGTTCGAGAAACCGAAATTTAAAAAGGCATACATTTGATTACTAGAATTGAGTTTTTGGGAACGCACAATTCTCGTCCTATGGCAAGCTGTCCCCGGTTTGAATGAATATGCATTCTGCATGGGATGGCACGACGCCTACAAAGCTGACCCCATATTCTGCAAACTATTTATAACTTTCATATTTCTAATGTATTTTTCCGCAATTACAATACTCAACAGAAGAAAATTAAAGTTGACAAATAGACTCAGAAATGAATACTTTCGCAAGAAAATGATCGACGAAAACAATGCCTTGATCAGAAATACAATCTTGTTAGTCGCTCTAATTGTAATAGTATTGATTTCTGTACTTCAAATACAGATCAGTATATTTGAATATCCAACAAGAGTAAAAAAACAGAAATTTCCCGGAGAACCATTTTTACGCACTGTTTTCATCTTTATTGACATAAGTTGTCTCATCGGAATAATTGGTTTTGGTTTACTGTTGGCAGCGTTGTTGTTGTTTATCGCCCATGGAAATTTTCAACATGTCTCCGATGAACTCTGCGCAATAAAGAGAAACGACTCGGATTTACGAAGAAAGCTTAATGAATTAATGTTTCGCTATGAAGAAATTTAAATTTTCTTGGATCAACTGAACTCCAAGTCGAATTTCCTAAATGAAATTTGTTATTTTGGTATCTTATGGTTGACCAGCTTTTTGTATTATTTACTGTTATTTACAGAAACGAATGAACTTCTAAAGCATCTCCTATTAGGATTGGTCGTATTATTCACATTTACATGCATAATTACTAACTGTCTGGTATATTCATTGTCATTCGTGGTAATTAAGCTTTATTCATTTTGATAAACTGATTGTTTCTCCTTCAGTCTCTTATCTACTTTCTGATTTTAGATGAGCAACACGTTTCAAGATATCAAACAATTCGAAAAATGTCGCATTGAATTGGAAAAAAAGCTGGAAGTATGTAACTCTACAGATAATTTTTTTTTTATAATCACGATTGTAACTTTGTGTTTTCTTTTTCAGATGCTAAATTTTATGAAAAGATTCGGAAAAGTGTCGTTGAGTCTTTTGATTGGCGGATTTTTGTTCATCAATAAATACATACCATTCAAGGTTTGATTATTTGTGTAATTATATGAATATAGTCTTTTAAACAATACTTTAAAGGGTAAAGCGATAATTAATAAAGTTGTACATTTCAGATGGCGTCTACATTACATTCTGTTTTCTCCAGTTTAACGAAGATAAAAAGTATTTCAAAGCAAATAGTGTATTGTAACGAAATATTTCATACGAATTTCACAGAATAATTGTAACCCTTCAGAAATGAAATTGTATAGATGTACATTACGTTTATACAGTAACTAAATAGCGAGGTTAAGGCCGATGTTTTAAACGCAAAAACGTGTACGTCAAACGTTTAGCGCCTCTTTCCTGTAAGCCTAAAAGTTTGACAATAATGTTTGAATAGTCAGTCGAATTAACACTGTCCCGCCAGACCGCATAAAAGCGCTCCGGCACTCCATTTGCTGTCATAATCCGTGTGTGTATAGTCTTGTCCATGTTTTGACCCACCACTGTCCCGCCAGACCGCATAAAAGCGCTCCGGCACTCCATTTGCTGTCATAATCCGTGTGTGTATAGTCTTGTCCATGTTTTGACCCACCACTGTCCCGCCAGACCGCATAAAAGCGCTCCGGCACTCCATTTGCTGTCATAATCCGTGTGTGTATAGTCTTGTCCATGTTTTGACCCACCACTGTCCCGCCAGACCGCATAAAAGCGCTCCGGCACTCCATTTGCTGTCATAATCCGTGTGTGTATAGTCTTGTCCATGTTTTGACCCACCACTGTCCCGCCAGACCGCATAAAAGCGCTCCGGCACTCCATTTGCTGTCATAATCCGTGTGTGTATAGTCTTGTCCATGTTTTGACCCACCACTGTCCCGCCAGACCGCATAAAAGCGCTCCGGCACTCCATTTGCTGTCATAATCCGTGTGTGTATAGTCTTGTCCATGTTTTGACCCACCACTGTCCCGCCAGACCGCATAAAAGCGCTCCGGCACTCCATTTGCTGTCATAATCCGTGTGTGTATAGTCTTGTCCATGTTTTGACCCACCACTGTCCCGCCAGACCGCATAAAAGCGCTCCGGCACTCCATTTGCTGTCATAATCCGTGTGTGTATAGTCTTGTCCATGTTTTGACCCACCACTGTCCCGCCAGACCGCATAAAAGCGCTCCGGCACTCCATTTGCTGTCATAATCCGTGTGTGTATAGTCTTGTCCATGTTTTGACCCACCACTGTCCCGCCAGACCGCATAAAAGCGCTCCGGCACTCCATTTGCTGTCATAATCCGTGTGTGTATAGTCTTGTCCATGTTTTGACCCACCACTGTCCCGCCAGACCGCATAAAAGCGCTCCGGCACTCCATTTGCTGTCATAATCCGTGTGTGTATAGTCTTGTCCATGTTTTGACCCACCACTGTCCCGCCAGACCGCATAAAAGCGCTCCGGCACTCCATTTGCTGTCATAATCCGTGTGTGTATAGTCTTGTCCATGTTTTGACCCACCACTGTCCCGCCAGACCGCATAAAAGCGCTCCGGCACTCCATTTGCTGTCATAATCCGTGTGTGTATAGTCTTGTCCATGTTTTGACCCACCACTGTCCCGCCAGACCGCATAAAAGCGCTCCGGCACTCCATTTGCTGTCATAATCCGTGTGTGTATAGTCTTGTCCATGTTTTGACCCACCACTGTCCCGCCAGACCGCATAAAAGCGCTCCGGCACTCCATTTGCTGTCATAATCCGTGTGTGTATAGTCTTGTCCATGTTTTGACCCACCACTGTCCCGCCAGACCGCATAAAAGCGCTCCGGCACTCCATTTGCTGTCATAATCCGTGTGTGTATAGTCTTGTCCATGTTTTGACCCACCACTGTCCCGCCAGACCGCATAAAAGCGCTCCGGCACTCCATTTGCTGTCATAATCCGTGTGTGTATAGTCTTGTCCATGTTTTTACCCACCATTGTCCCGCCAGACCGCATAAAAGCCCTCTGGCACTCCACTTGTCATAATCAATGTGTTTATAGTCTTGTGCATGTTTTGATATTTTTGTTTTGGTTATCGCCTTATTAGTTATGGGAATTATATTATTTTAATCAGCGTGTTGTATATTATTACTTATAGTCATAAATTGTTATAATTTTGTGATTATAATTTATGTATAATTTTTGTTTCATTAAAGCTTTATTGTATTTGTGGCCGTTTTGTCCAAAATGCTGTTTTTGATATGATATAGCACATGTCTATGATGCTGTTCACCAAAATATATATATATATTATCGTTATAAAATATAAAAGAGTATTATTTTATTTAATTTAAATAATACATTTAAAATTATATTATTTAAAATAATATAATAAGTATATATCCTGTATTATTATTGATGAAGTTTTATATTAAATTTAAATGGAAAACTGAATTAGCAATTTTCTGAGTTTATGTTAATGTCCTGCTCTGAGTATAATTAAATGTGTATGTTAACGTGTTTGTTATTCTTAACGCTGAGTTCAGATTTTTTATAGAAAAAAAAAAAACATTAATTAATGTTTTATTTGTGTATATGAAATCAATTAGTTCTTAAAATGGGGAAGAAATTGTTTTTCATCACAACTTTACAAAATAAAATTGAAATATACTTACTATACAATCAAAGTAATACAAAGTAATACATTACATAAAATCATTATA